CAATTCTCTCCCCCATCCCACTGGGGATGGGGGGAAGGAGTGAGCAAGGGGCTGTGTGGTGTTCAGCTGCCTGCCGCATTAAACCATGACACAGTCCAGCCAGGAGCCAGTCACCAGCTGTGTGCCACAGGGCTGAATAATTGGGTAAATACTATTAAACATCTTTATGAATGACCTAGACAATGGGACAGATGGCACCATCAGCAGGTTCGCAAATGATACAAAACTAAGAGAAATGGTTGATAGACCCCACTGTGTGTGTTGCAATTCAGAGGGAACGCAACAGGATAAAGAAACGGGTCAACAGGAATGTCATGAAATTCAACAAAGGCAAATGCCAAGTCCTGCAGCTGGAGAGGAATAACCCCAGGCAGCAGGACAGTCTGATGTCCAACCAGCTGGAGAACAGTTTGTCAGAAAAGGCCATGATGGTCCTGGTAGATAGGTTGGTCAAGAGCCAGCAACAAGTCCTTGTGGCAAAGGCCAGCATCACTCTGGATTGTGTTGAAGAGAGCATTGACACCCCATAGAGGGAAGTGATCCCTCCTCTACTCAGCAATGAGGAAGAGGCATCTGAATGCTGTGTCCAGGTCTGGACTGCCCAGTACGAGACGTGGACATATTGGAGCAAGGGGCCACAAGGATGTTAAGGGAGTGGAACACCTCTCATACGAGGAGACATTGAGAAGACTTAGAGAAGGCTCAGAGAGAGCTTTTCAGTATGTATAAATATTGGCACAAAGAAGAGGGAATTTGGCTCTTCTCAGTGGTGCCCCATGACAGGACAGGTATGCCATCCACAGAAGCAGGTAAAAAGCAATCCAAAACAACCCCTGCCACCCCACCACCCAACAAAAACACAGTATCCATGCCACGTCCTCCACAGTGACTTCTCTGTTGAAAACGCCGATTCCTTTTACACTACTTTTTTTATTGTATCAATACAAAAACATGAGTTAAGCAGGACAGGGAGGTTATATGCACTTCGGCTGGTTTTACACCTTTTCCAAATAAATTGTATGTTATACTGAAGACAAGGACTCTGAATATTCCAAATCTGAGTTTAAGTAGTGCTTATTGTCTGCATCTCCCATTGGTTTAAACAGGATTTGTAGATATCCTTTACTGGCCCATGTCTGCCCAATTTTTTTGTTCTTCAAGCCAAGGCCAGAAGAATAACAACATTATCTTTCCCAACACCTTGAAGAATCAACTACTCGCTTTACAGTCTTTAAGCTGAGGGAAGATGTTTCATAAAAGGATGAGACCCATTCTGTACAGATGCAGTGAGAGTTAAGTACATGAAGAAGTTTGAGGTTTTTTTCCTGCCTTTGAAGTCTCTCCTTTGACTACTTAATGTGAAGTATACTTTAAACATTTGCCGCGTTCAAGAGTACCACGGGAATCTAGAAAATGCTTCTAAACCTTGCTTCTGATTCCCCACTTATGCTCTACAATCATTTAAACGTTATATAGACTGAATTTTGGAGTCAACAGCATAGAACCAGTGGAGATACACCAACTCACACCAGTACTGTAAAGACCTAATGCAGTAATGCCATCTAATGACCGGATGCCATGATCTCTTCCTGCATTTTTGAGATGAGATCAGTCCAAATGCTACCTTTTCCCTATCAAAAGTATTTCATAAAACCCCCACATTTTTTATGAATACCGCATTGAAAGCGAAGGGAACAGAAAAAGAAGGGTTAAAAAAGAAAACTCTTGAAAAAACAAAGGACCTCTGTTCTTGCAATGTTAAAGACTGTAATGTCTATACCAGGGGTTTAATTCTATTGCGCTTTACTCAAGCATAGTAACAACGGATTGAACTGGTAATAAGTAATTGTAATAGGTAGGAAATCTCCAGCCATTATCAGGAAGACTGACAGAACTGAAATCGAAGAATTTAGAGCCTCCAGCATAGGCTTTGCATTTATGTATTTATTTTTAGAGTCAATTTGATTCTTCTGCAGGAATAAAGAAAATTTTCTGCTAGGGTTATAAGAACTGTTTTACTTGAACTGAATCCAATTCTGGCCTTTACTAAAGCTCTTTCTAGACATGCATTTGCCAGTTCATTAACAAAGTATTTCCAATACAGCAAAAATGATGAAGCCTTAAGCCTCTTTAGTATCTGCTAAAAGAAATCCCACTCAGTCTTTTAAAAGCTGGTTTAAACTTAAAGCCAGAATTTCATTAAAACTAATAAAAGAGACAGAGCTCTATGGAAAGGACTTTCACTCAATTCTTGCTCAGTTTTTCCTGAGTTTTGCAATGTTTGGTCTGCGTGAAAACTAACACTCTCCACTGTGAAAATGACATCACAAACTGCTGAAAAGAAAGCAAGTGCTGTGTAGGACTTCCCATCTAAGGAGGCTTCCACAGTTTGACATTCCCAGGCCAATATAATAATTGTGCTCTCCAAGTTACTGAAGTTTCAGTGCTTTCCATAGTGATACACTTCATTTACAGAAACTGTGTTTTGAGATGGGTCCATTCTGACAGACACTCTCTCAAGTTCTTAAACCAGTTCTGAGGCAAAATAATCTTTGTAACTCCCACTGAAACTACTTGTCACTGCAACCACTCAGCACTTAAGTGTTTTGTTTCACTTCACCCCCGAGAAATCCTCACAAGAACTACAACGGGCAATAACAAAACCCCTTTTCAAACATCTTCAGAAAGGGACTTCAGGGTATCAAGGTGGAGATGAGCAGAACATGCTACAGTGTAAACAGACCCACTTTATTAAAAAAAAAAAAAAAATTGGAAAGCCACACTCCAGTGGCCAACTCACTTCCCAAACAAAAATTGCCAAGAGTAAAATGCAAAGCTCCCCTTGCACTGCAAAATGGTATCACTCAGCAACATGACATCACCATCCCCATCAGTGAAAAGATGCACCAAGGTGTCCAGAATTGGCATAACAAAGTGTCAGGTGAAAAAACACTCGCAGTATAGCTGCACCTGGCATTTAGCACTGAAAGAAGTTTGTTACAAATAGCTCATTAAAAGGCCCGGTATTTTCACCATAGATGTCTAACTATGCAAAATTACATAATCAAATATGCTTTCAAGCTGTTCAGACTTTTTTTTTTTTTACACTACCCTCACTGACTAACAAAATTCCTGTGTTACATGTTCCATGTTACACGATGGACAAAGCTTTTAAGCAGTGCCCAACTGCTTCCTACAACGGTTTCCTACAAATTCTAACAAAATATCTGATCTTTTAGAATGGTAAACAGCCACTGACAAAAATTTCTGCCCCAGTGACATGAAATAAAAGAACTGCCCAAAAATTCAAATATAGGAGTACTGGGTATCAGAACCCTGTGTGTCAGGAATACAGACAACACTGGTGAATCCCATACCAAGTGAACGTTTCTCTGAGATTGTATGTACTGCAAAGCTCAGATCAAGCACCTCTGATAAAAATGACTGTCGCAAATCTCCATTTGGTCATTTGGCCTTTCCATTGCCATGAAGCGCCTGAGAGGCAAACACAGCTCCCACCCTGTAGGACAGCATGGAATGCAGTACGAGCACTGTGTAAGAGGAAAGCAGAACAGCTACAGAAAACCTGTTCCAAGGACAAGAGAATCAGACATTTCTCACACAGTGTATTTCATGGCCTTTAGTGATCTGTGCAGCACAGTTCCTGCACGCATGTACTGTCTTCTCTTACATTCTGATCAACCACATTGGCAGCACGCATCTTACTGTTTCCTTTCTTCCCTACAGGCTACCTTACTCGCCATCTCCATGACTTGCAACAGGTGCCAGTTGTGTCCTACTTTCCATTTCTCTTTATAGGCATATTTTGTACAGCAGCTACACCATACACACCACCAGCCCTATTTTGATCAAAACCATCCATCTTCCACGTCTCTAATTAAGGCTCTTGGCCAGATTTTTGTCTTTTAGTCTGAAAGCCTCTTGGGACAGTAACTGTTTCTACTGGTATTTGTCATTGTTCAGTTTACTTAAAAGAAATACTGTGTAAATAAACTCTTCAAGCCACTAAAGATACCCAGACACAAATGCAAGTGAAATGATTGTGCCCCTGGCTCCTTCAGTACTTTATGTTTACCATGGAAGAGCTTCTTGCAGCTTTCCCTGACTGGGATTCCTAAGTGCAAACTACTGAAATGCATACAGCTGGAAGAGATAGTCAAGCTGCCAGAAAGCACATGAATGAGTGACTGTGGGTTAGATTCACCTCTTGGAATGACTCTGCCTACATGTAAATGTATCAGAAACCACTGTTGGTGCCACAGAGAAACACCATCAGATGTGATATATTATTTACAAGTGTTAAAATGCCCAGAATAGGGGCAGAAAGATAACTCAAGCTCTCTGCAACTGTGCTTTATGCCAATTAAACAGAGTTCCCCAAATGAAAGCCCACGCACAGTGCATCAGATGCAGCTGAACAGCTTCACATAGACTGGAGTGTAGGTTGGTATCACCAGGCAGAATGGTCCAAAGAGTACTCTCATATGGAAGAGCTACCTCCAAATGGTGCCACACTTAACAAGTTAGCCCAGCTGAAGTTGTTAAGCATTGCAGATAGTAAGATAGAGCTCATATCCTTTTAAGTCCCTACTCATTCCATCTTTTCCCAATCTCCACTAAAAAAAAAAAGTTTCAAGAGTAGCTACCAAGTATCTTGTATTTTCTTCATATGCAACTTATAGCAATGAGTAACAGCGCAGCCCTAAAGAGCAGTGCAACCTGCTAGCCAAGTAACTGCTACTCCAAGCTCTTTCCCCCCTGCCTCTTTTACTTACCCACAGGAGCACAGCTGACAAACGCACTTCTTCAAGGATGGAATGACATGCAAAGGCTTAGGCGATATAGGAGCCATGTTTGCTAAGAAAAAATCATGGCTTAGGTCCTTCCCGGCAGATGCTCTACAGCAGAAAAACAACCCAAACAAAACCAAAATCAACCAAAGAAAAACCAAAAGCAACCCAAAGAAAAACCAAAAGCAACCCAAAGAAAAACCAAAAGCCCCACTCCACTTCAGCAGTAGTCCCTGGAGAAGCAGGGACAGAGCACCTAACACTGGTGCAGACTGACTGGCTCCTTTCCTGGGGCAGCATGCCCAGGTTCCTCTGGTGGCATCCCAACCAGAACTCTGCAGTCCTGCTTCCAAGCCTCTTCTGACCAGGGTGTGAAAGCCTGGACAGTCACCTGGGGAACTTCTGTGAAGTCACCAGCACCAAGCTCTACAGGGCTGTGCCTGTTGCAGACAGCCAATAGATTGTCAGAAAGGTCAGACCTTCCAATTCCCTAGCTGTTTGACCATGATGAGATCAATGTGCAAATGGGGTATAAAGAAGCACTTCCCTCTTAGCTGTTAACACACCAGCAGCCACATTATAGCTTCCACAACTAGCAACAAAAACCTCTTTTCATAAAGCTTGTCAAATTCTGCTTCATAAGGAAGATGTCAAATACAGGTGGACATTCGTCTTAAAACCTGTTTGCAACTGTTTTAGAAGAAAGGAGAAAGATATACCAGAACAGAAAACCAACTTTACTTAGCAACACTTCAAAACTCTGTAAACACACCACGTTAGGGGGGCAGCACTTTTATAATAATAAGCTTATCTGCTGGAACCACAACTTGTACATTCCTGCCCCACTAGCAGTATTAGCAAGTTACTTACACCACAATGACATAAATGTATATAAATTATTTGAAAATAAACACTACCATAAGTCATAAATCTTTACAGCTTCAGTGTAAAACATTTATTCAGTAATATGCCTGAAGAAATAGGCACTTCAGTGGAAGATTATAAAAAGAAAGCAGACTATCACCAGGTACAACTAAGGGCAAAATTGACCAGAAGTCTCAATAAGAGAGAAGAAACCAATGAATGCAGAGCACAAAGTAAAATTGGGAGGAGTAGGAGGGAGGGAAAATAGAGGCAAGATAGACACACCAAAGATTTCACTATTTCTCATTTGAGACTTTGTTTTTCCATTTTCTAGGATGATGCCACCTACTTAACATCTGCTATTTGTAAATATATGCTTAGAAAAGAATATATAGTTTTGTACATAAATGATGGGCTGTACATAGAGTGCTACTATGGATGGCATGAAATTGTCCGTTGCTTGCTCTGGTTCTTCCACTCTTAAACAAGGAGACTGGAATATAGTCTCCATACAAATTAGGAAGAAATGCAACTTCTCCATCTAAGCCATGCTTGGAGAAGATGCTACAGCTCAAGTGAACCATTATTGCACTACTGTGGTTATGCTTCTGCTTTACAAATTCCATTCTGATGGTGGTTCCTTTGTGTCCAGCTTCTCATTCAACTGCTCTTTATCTGGAAGAAAAAGTGTATCAGTTAGCTCTCTAAAATATTCAATTAACTGAGAGAAATACTGCTCTAAAAGTGTTTGGTGTATATTAAAAAAGCATATACAAAATGGTAATTCTAATTTTGATAACAGTTCCAAGTAAGGTAAAATCATCTGCTATCAGTACAGCCACGATTTTAAGCGAAAGCTAAATTGCAGCAAGCCTTTGCACAAAACATAAATCTCACAACTCCTCAAGACTAGCTTGTTGTGTTAAAGCCCTAGTATTCCATTAAACACCACCTGTTCTGGAGAAAGTCTTCTGTATAACCATTACTGGCTCATTTTTGTTAATGCGTGTCAAAAGTTGACTACATGTGTAACTAAACACTGTGCTACTGGTTAAACAAAGTTGACACTTCTGTTGGAAATGGGGTGAGGGGAGCAGGCAGGAATTGTATTTCATAATAAAAAGTATATTAAGAGAGTATTACAGCCTACGAATACCTGACTGACTGACCTCACAGGAGTTCCAACTACCTACAACATATTTCTAAATAGCCAAATTTGTTCAAAGTAAACACACTATTTCAAACCAACTTTGCGAATTCTCAAAATTTAACTGCAGATTACTTCCATTGCTAATGTACCTTATGGGTTTTTTTTGTTTGTTTGTTTTTTTTTTTTACTAGCTGCAGATTACTTCAGAAAGTCAGATAAGCACCTTTCCTCCTACTTGCAAGATGTTGATACAACTAAAGGAAGCATGTTTCCTTTGCTTTTACATCTCTACTTGCATAAGGAATAAGCATACACATAATCCATCTCCCTACATTTCCACAGCAGGGTTCAGCTATTCAGAATAGGTTATTTATTGGAGCATACCCAGTGGCAGAATGGACAAAACTTTTTCGCTTAAGTAAATGGGACACTTACCCTCCAATTTATGTATTAAGTCTAATGGGATTTTGTGTACCATTGATGCCATTTCCTCCAGATGTTGGTAGGATTCCAGCAAAGACGACAGGGAACATTTTCTTTCACTAACAGACATTGGTGATGGCGTCTTAGTAAATTCTTCATCCAAGGAGAAGTGTTTTGGAGTACTGCAGAATTCATTGCTTTCTATTTCTTCTGGTGCAAGACCTGGGTCTGATCTGCAACTTACAGGTTTGCCTCCATCACGTGTTTGCAGCTCCTCTTTGCTTCTAGGTGCAGTCTTTTTCAGCACTTCACATGTGCTGAACTGTAGATCGAGCTCTGATTTTTGAATGTCCTCCTTATTTTCTGAACCATCTATTACGTATTTGCTGTCCATTCCATCAAAATCAGACTCTGACCTTACAGATTTTTCGGGATCTGTGCTATCAAGTTCTTCTCGAAGTTTCTCATCGAATATCTGCAAGAAGGCAGCTTCACAACTGATAGAACTCAACAATGGAGATGCACTGCAGTGCAGCTTCCCATCCATCAAGAAACGCTGAAACTGGTCTGAAGGTAGAATAATTGTGCTACTGTCGTTTTTTGAACAAGTATCTGAAGTATTCATGCTCTCCTCTACATATTGAGAAGCCAAATCTTCTACAGAGCTTTCCTTCAAAACAATAGGTGTTAATTCCCCTTCTTTGGTTCTCTCACACTCTTGCATTCCAGATGTTTCTAAAATTGGAGATTCAATTATACGACTTATCTTCATCCACTTTGGGGTTCTAAATTCTGTAGAACTTAATTGGGACTTCCTTTCTGACAAGGGAGGTTCAAAGTCAGGTACAGGAGATGCATGGGTAGAGCACCCAAAACCAGAGTCTGCTGCCTTCTGCATTATAGGTGTAGCATCCATTGGAGCTTCTTCTGTCATTACTTCAGTTGGGGTCAGCTCTGTTTCTGATGAGCCGTCAGTCTGAATAGCTTTTCTCCACGAGCTTCTAATTTCAGTAACTTTATGCAAAAAACAAAGATAAAATGTTAGTACTTCCACCCTCTCAATCAATCTGTTTTTATTCTGTCTCTTCAGTAACATAAGCAATCCAAGACGGAAGATGTAGAGCTGCTTTAGATTGTTTATGCTTAATTCTATTCCTCAACACAAAGGGGATTCTACATAGGAAAAAAAAAAAGTCTATTTTAAATTAAATTCACAGTATTCACATCTTATTAGGCCTACGATGTTGTGTTACAGAGTGAGCCATTAGGATAACTTGCAGCTTCACTGAAATAATTCTCTTTTTCTTCTTGTGTGACATGTACAATGTCGATGAACTAATCACATTTCTAATCAATGAGTATTATAAAAACAGAGGTTTAGACTTACGCAGATTTTCCGGAGTTCGGGGAATCTGTTTCCTTGTTAAAAATGGGTTAAGAGCCAGTGAGCTAATGAGCTCTTCTAATTCCATTCCTTTTTCTTCACCACTCTGAGGTGACTCAGATATCACTGTTTTTGCAACCTGAAGAATGTTAGAGAAGGGCAAATACTGAGAAAGCAAAATTATAACCTCTCATTTCTGCCAGTATGGCTTGAAATAAATCCCATTCTCCAAGTGATCTGAAGAATGTAGAAATCTCCTGACTCTGTCATTTACTACTCAGGCTCACAATGACCATAGTGTCTTACAAACACAAAATTAAGATGGGGGACTGAAATCAGAATTCACTTCTAAGTTCCCTCGTTGTCTATGAATCCATCTCTAAAATAAGAAAATGTGCTCACATAGAACACATTTAAGATGCTAGTCAAGAAATACATAATCGTGAAGACTAGAACAGTATTTATGTAAGTAAAACATTTTAGCAGATGAAAAATAACTGTACCATTTCAGTGAAAGATGCAATTTACTTTAAAATGTGCCACAATGTGATTTGATAAGTAACTTTTGTGAAGGAATTCCTCAGTTAAATCTTAAATAACATACCTAAAAGAGGAAATACTTAAAATTCCTGCTTAAAATTCCCAAATCCCTGTTAAATACTTAATCTGCATAAATTCACTAACGAAAAGGACTGTTGGATTCTTAATATCTGTGGTTCATAGATTAAAGTATGAGAGGTGATAAAAATCATACCATGATTCTACTGGAAGTGCTATTCACTTCACCGTGATTTTGTAAGTATAATAACTGCACAAGTTCCATGCTTTCAGGGTCTATTTAATTGGGCAGTCAACCTTAAAACTTAGTGACAATGATTACTACCTAGCATAAAAAAGTAACTTTTGACATATGAAGATTACAAGAGGCATTTTATGATGTAATCAGTAATTTCGTCTCTGAACTTAATGACCATTTATTTGAAAACAAGCAAACAGACAATTTGAAAATAACTTTTCCTAACCTCTTCTGCCAGTTCATCTCTGGCTCTCTTAAGAGGGTCTTCTTTTTTGACAGGCGACACTGTCTGGATAACACAATCACCCGCATTCTCCCACATTTCTGAAATGGCAGACTCATCCTTTGCATTTTTTAAGATCTTTGGAGGCAGAGGCTTTTTTTCCCCACTGCAAGTTTCAACAGGCAAGTTCTAGAGGAATACACAGGAAACGTTAGAAGTTTTAAACTCAGGTGTCAGAAAATAAGCATTAAGAAACTGCTGTACAAATTCTGAAAAGCAATGGCCTTGGTATTTAGTCAATAAAAATATTTCGGGTTTAAATTCTAACTAAATACAAAATATTTTTACAATCATATTTAAATTAGGACATAAGTAGTGGCCAGGACAGGGTGTTGCATAGAACACAGATGACTCACCTGCAACTACCCTGACTACACTACAGTGAACAGTTCTGATGTGGACAACTGTACATCCAAGTTGCTTTTAGGCCACATTATAACCCTTAAGTTCACACAACATCACAGTGACCACTGCTCACACCAAAAAGACTGTTTCAGCAAGCAGGTGATCAGTGACACACTGTATGTTGCACTGGAAGTCAGGTGCAAATGCATCTGCTTCCTACTGTCCTTTCCTAAAGCTTCATGAAGTCCCTGGCAGTTAGCTTTCACAGGACTGACTCAGGCGTGTCAAACTACTACTTAAAAAAAACAACAAAAACCCCACAACCCTCCCCCCCAAGTACTAAGCTTGGGCTCCAATCAATGTAAAAAGCAACTATTGTTAAGTTTAACTTCTTTGACAGGTAGGAAATTACTGAAGAATAACCTTTTCAATTAACACGTCTCCGTTTTCAGATGCTTTTGACAACTCCAAAGGCACCGAAGACATCCTTGAGGAGGCAGGTAAAAAAAAAAAGTTTTAGAGACAAATGAAACAGGTGGTAGGCAAGTCTTAGTAGAAGACCATTACAAGTTGTGTGCCCCGTATCTGTCCGTTACGATTTCCCTCAATTCGTCCCGGTCATCAGAAGGCAATTTTACTGTAGGGAGAACATGTGACAATTAGAGCAGATTTAGCCCTAGTTGTGTATCAGCCTCCCAAAATTAATAAATAATTAAACTTTTCCCTTGATTACCAAACAGAAAAAGAAGGGATTTTGTGATACATTTTGTAAACAAGTCTTCTGTATTCTGCAATCAAAAGATAACTGGGAAGTCTTCTGCAGACTTGATAATGTTCTTTTCCCTAGTTATTCTTCCTCTGAATCACCATCAACAGGTCTGTTCCTATAGGAACTTACTGATATTTAACAATCACTTGGCTACCAAAAACTTGAGTCATATCACTACTGATGAGCATAGTGCTAACTGCATAGCTCTCTAAAATGTAAGGTACAGCCCTCACTTGTTCAGAAGAACGCACCTTAGAATGTTAATAGTTGCTGCTGTTTGTCTTTAGAATCAGAGGCAGAGAAAAATTCATGCCATTATGAAGTCACTGAGAGAAAAATCAGGCTTTAATTGTTAACTACTCGGACAACCTCTGAGACTTATGTGCAACTACATCTACTGATGTCTAAGTATAGGACAGCCTTCCTTTGCCAATTCCCTTCCTCTCCTAGTAGGCAACTTCCAAGTATCTGTAGGAGTCATATTATGAAACGCAGTGTTATTCAACAGTCATGAAACCTTCCTGGACTAAGCAAATGACAAACACGCCAAAACTTTTTAGAATACCATTGTTTTGTGTCCTATCCTTTACTGGAACTGTAGTAAGAGAAGTTACAGAACAAAGTGATTTTAGAATATTCATGAGAGAAGCCTTGTTGAGAAGGTTTAGTAAATCTGCTTGGGATTCAGGGGGGTTTGTTTTGGTTCAGTTTTAGTTGTTGTTCTTAAACAAAAAAGGGCTCCTGTGAATGCCTGTTCTTTTACTCTCAAGCTATGCTGAACATATATGCCTACTTCAACCCAGCCTAAGAAAAAAAAAATTCTGTTTTCTCTACCCACCTCTTAAAACTTGAAAGGATGTAGTTAAAAAGCTTGATAAAAACGTTGCAACTTGGCTGCTGCACATCCTGTTCACCAGCAACCAGTTGATCAATTGGTCACCAGCTGGAAGAAGTGGCAGTTGCTTTAGGACTACCTTGCTAAATTAGGTGGATGTGACATGTAAGGAGTGGGCTACTGAAATATTCCACTAACAATCAAGAAGTGCAATATATTCAACTTCAAGTAAATTTTTACTTTTTTGCACTGCTTTTTTATCAACTTCTCATTAACATCATACCATCTTCGTAGTGGTGTTGACTTATCCATCACAGTTTCCAATGCCCCATCATTTTTCTCATAAATTACTTCATTAATAGAGTCAGAAACATCTGTAAAAGCAAGTTGAGAGTTTTATTATTGCTTCCACTTTTTTTGCTCAGGCTTCCCAGGTGAACAAGTGTCCTCAGACCACTTCTGCAGGCTATTTACAGGATGGACTTTATGTACACTTCAAGAAAAATAAATTAATACATAAGCAGGACAGTGAAATCAATCCTTTTGCTCAGGTACCATCTGCAGCCACAGATGCCACTAGAAGCCAGCACCTATGTGTTCCTGAATGCATGTTCGAGAGGCATGATCCCATCTGCTGCCCTGCACATATCTATCATACATTCCACCTTTCTCCAAACTACCATCCCAGCCATATGTCATCATTATCCCCTCCTCTCCATGCACACATCAACTGTGTGGCACGTCAATTCCACAAAGCAAAATTCCACCCACGTTTTCCCCACCATCTTCACCTGCATTTATCAACAAATATCCCTGTGGACATACTCATCCCTCTGACCAATGCTGCCTCAGACCAAGCAAGTCAAGGCACACTATAAGGAAATGTTTTGCACATTATCTGAGGTACACATGTGTCAGCTCAGGACCCTCAATAACAATATATATCTATTTTGGCACATCATTTGCATAAACAGCCGAAGTTTAACCTCACTAGTTCCCTACTAATCCTCAATTTCAGCTTCTGCAAGCATAAATGGCATTTCATTTTGTATTCACCTCAACACCACCTCCAAAATCCAAGCTCACTTCAAGAAGTTAAGTGAGGTTAACTTTTTTTTTTTAAAGCACGCCATGTCAACTGGCGGGAAGTTTGTTTTCTTAGTGGCTGGATTCTCAGATCAAGCATTTTAACCACAGAGCAGATAGAATGCCACAGACACCAGTCTGTCTCAAGCTTTCTGATATCACCAGAAGCTCACAGCATTACTGCACAGTGCTTTAATCTTCTAAATTTTTAAGGCAAATTACCTTCCATTTGCAATTCCGTAGCTTTTCATTTGCAGCTTCTAGCCTACACACCATCAGACTGCTGGAGCACTGGTTTCACCCTTGTAACCAGAAGGATCTTTTCCCTATTGCTTTGCAGATTGAAATTCCAACACACACCCACTATTTCATTTTTCCTAAAAGGGACTGCAAATGACATATGACTGGAAGCCACCTTCCCCCTCCTTTTCCACCCTTGCTTTGTAGCTTCTTGTTTATAACTCCATACTAGGGACAGTCAACACTTGGTCAGTAAGCACTACCCAGTAAAATACAATCGGCTCATCAGCCGATTAGCGTGTGCAACACCCGTGTCTGATCCAAGTGAGCTCTGATCAGCACTGTTAACCTAATGACGGAAGCAACCAGCGCAGAGATCAAGTAAGGTCCTGATCAAATGGCACAGTTACTGTGGAGTATTTCAGAACGCACCAGGGAAAGATGCTTACCTGGAAGAACACCTTCCATTTCTTTTCCCAGTTGTCCAATGGGAAAAGTTTTATAATCTTTCTCTCTTTCTTGTTACTCCTCCAACCCAAAGCAGCTTTTATGGTTAGAGTGAATGTACACTCTACAGCCCGCGAGTGAACCTTTGTACATAGAAATCTCGCTCAACAGCCTTCGTGCAAGAACAACAAAGAAACAGCTCCAGCACTGTTTTTTTTGCCATATCAAAAGCTTCAGAGAATCTTTGAGATACGACAACGTTGAAAAACATAGGGCAGTTGTGGCAAGGAGTCATTGATAAACTAACTTTTATCAATTGTGGCAGGAGGGAAGAAGAAGAAGCTTCTCCTGCTCACCCACCTGAAACTGATAGCCATTTTTGAAAAAATACTCCATCCTTATCTTCTTCTTCTGTAAGATTAAAAGAATAGGGTGGTGAAGCTCTTGACAGACCAAATTCCTTTCAAAAGAAAAAAAAAAAAACAACTTACATAAGCAGGCTGAAAAAATCTGCATATCAACAGCAATTAACAGACAGTTATTTACAACAGCTTTTCTGCAAACCAGCTGCCAGACTCAACATGAAACTTTTCCTTCCTCTGCTGGGTAGCGAGGCAAGGGTAGAATCTCAGATCCCTGTATCAGTGTGACTGTCAGAATGGAAATTATTGTCCATTCATCGAACAGATCACTTTAAAAGCGAAAAACAGAACTCAGCAGGTGTTCAGACTGACAGCACATGAAAGCTCAAATTTCCACAAGGGGATGGACATAGACAAAACCAAAACCGATCAGCTCACTCTCATGCTGACCTTCTGTCTTGCCAAGATGGTTCCATCCCCCATCTCAAATGAAGACACCAGCTGACACTAAGTCAAATGTATCTTCTTTAAGACAGACTACTTCATAAAGCAATTTCTGCTATATTGTGCTATCTGATTCCCTCACCTTACATATAAAGCTTGAGTGCTGCAATAGAACACGCCAGCTTAGATGTACATCCTCCCTCACCTGCGCCCTCTCTCTTCCCAGAATCAGATAAATTGAACACTACTTACTGTATCCTGATTTAAGACTAAACTAAAAGGACACAGGCCAAGAAAGCTTTTCCACTTCACTTCCCATTCTTCCTGTGTTCTAGAGATAGATCCACTTGTTGACACACGATGCTCTTGCTCTATTTGTAGCCTGTAACATAAGAGCATGGAAAACTAATGGAAACACATCTGTTGGTGGAGATAACAATTCTGCATAAAGATCGAGAGTATTATGTGTTCCCATTATCTTGCAAATCTTTGATATGTACCAACTTGTTCATGCATTTGTGCATGCACTAAGAACTAACTGAAGTTCAGCAGAAGTGGAAGAACTACACTAACATACATACACACAATGAAATACACACGTAAACCTCTCCTAAGCCAGTTTCAGATAAAAGTTTTAAAATCCCAGAACTGATTAACATAACAAGAAAAAAAAAAAATCAGCTAGCAAACTAAGTCCCCACGAACAAAGCCTAAAATTAATGAAGCAAGAGCAAAAAGCTGAAGTTACCTAGAGAAGTCTCAGTTAAAAGTTATACAGAAAATCAAGAAAAATGTGAATTTCCCAGAGGCAAAGGAAAAACATCGAACCAACATACCCTCGCTATAAATGATATTATTTTAGAAAAGACTCCAAGGTAGGAAGACGTGATCCTTAGACTAAAGATCAAGACACCAGAGAAAGTTTCCAGACAATTACCTCTTTTCTTTCAAATTATGTAGTAATTTATTGTGGAGTGTAACCTTATTCTCCAGACCCTTGACCTGCAGATGTAGTTTTAATTCAGACTGACAACGTTCATCTCTCAGTGCCCTCAGAGCTTCATTTAGTAACTGCATGACTGTTAAGAAATTCAGTTTTTCACCTTCATATAAGTTTCCTGTACAAAGCTTGAAGTACAGCAAGGAAAAAAAAGAATTAGTAAACAGTATCAATACCAGAAAGTTATGTCTTCTGTAGTACAGTTTCACTTTGTATTTTGATTCAGTTCCTGACTGTTTCATTTTTCAAAAAACACACTTTAGATTTAAGTCTCATGTTTGTTTTCTAGAATCAGCTGCTTGAAAGCAGCCTATAAAGCCATACAAATTAAGAAAACTTCAATTCATGAGGTATTCTATTTAACCACTGCCCCAAAAGATGTGGCAGGCCTAAACAGCACCATATACTACAAACTTGAAACAAAAGCCCGTTAGATAAAGCAATAGTTAAACTGGTCAGCCTAGTTTTAATGTTTAAACAACAGCAAAAAAAAAAAAAAAAAAAAAAAATCAGGCAGGCTTACCAATGCAGTTATTGAGCTTAAAAAGTTAATGGTTGAAACATAACCAATACAAAACAGTAGCACAATCATAACAAACTTTTATGTGCAAATTAGACATATTTTCTCCATCCTTGAGCAATCACTTCTTATCATCTGTGAAGTACTTTTTTTTTTTTTCTTTTTTAAAGGTATGTAATTACACCCCTGGGAATAAAAAAAAAAAACAAATACAATTTAGGAAGAAGGATAAAACTTACTTGGTGTATGTCACTTTCAACCCTGAGAGCCAACAGCTGTGGAACACTGAACACAACATTAGCTCCATCTAAAATGCACGGACCAACACAGTCTTCAAGTACAGAATCCACAACTTCCCTTTCCTTTTTCAGAGATGTAAGCATTTCTATTATAAGTGTCCACATACTGCGGACCTTAATGGGCAAGAAGGAAAAAAAATGCTATGTTAAAATATTTGCCACCTAAAATCACAGAGTATTAAAACAGCATAAAGACAGATGAAGGGGCTAGTGTAATCACAGGTAGACAAGTGGAAATACCAGTACCTGAGAGCAAGCATTGCAGAAGCGTAAGAAGAAATATAGTACGCCGCCACAGCAGAAAAAAAAATGCTCACCTTTTGAATTCTCTCAGTTTTGTCATTTTTGTTTTGGTCATTTTGTTTCATCCTATATGCACATGCAAAACAAAAGTTCAAGTGGACTACAATGAAATTATAGTTCATATTTCATAAAATTGAGTAAGAAATTGATTTTATATATGCTGACTTAGTTACAAGGAAAAACACTTACTTGCTAGACTGTATCTGCAGGACTGCATATTCAGACTTTATCTGTTTTATTTCTTTAATTAAAAGCCTAGGAAAAAAAGTTAACAGTTACCACAGATTTATTTAGACAAATAAAATCCAAGTTTCTGCTCTGCTATTCTCAGAATTCTTTACAACCACCAACCAGTCATACTCATTCTTTCCAAATCTGCATACTAAGGCAGTTTTGGCATGATGCAAAAGAATTAAAAAAAAGAAACACCACCACCACCACCACCACCCCCCCAAAAAAAAAAACCCACAACCCCCACAAAACTTACCCTTTACTTCCTCACCATGACTTTGTGCAGAAAGACAGACAGGAAAGCCACTAAGATATTTGTAAATTAACCAATGAAGCTGTTACTTATGCTACTGCAATGGAACAGCTTTTATTAGACCCAAGAACAATAATGAAGTTATTAGAAATGTACTTTATCAATATAAAATTCCAAATATAATCAGCAATTGTACAGTACCCAAATGACTCAGTTTCAAAAAAACAGCAAACAGAATACTGGAGTACAAGCAGCTGGACCATCAAAGTTCTTTTGCAAAAGCTAAGTGCTTTTATTACATTTTTAAGCATGTAAAAATACAGTGGCCTGATTTTCAGAAATACTGGGTGCTTGAATCATGCTGAATTCTAAAGGATCTTCAGAGTTCTGATGGCTTGTTGAGAATTAAAAAACTATAGAGAATTAAGTTTTCGAAGGCTACCATTCACAAGGTGAGCAAGAGCACTGACACTTCCCAAGCAGGGTAAGAGTAGATGCAGAATTACAGAAGTCAGTGAAGTGTAGGAGACTTTGACCTCTGGAAATTATATTGTTGAGCCTTCCATTGAAAGCATAGTATTCATGGTCCTATCAAGCCAAGTCATTAGTATTTCCAGCAAGGGAGATTCCACCACTTTTTGGGCAACCTATTCCAGTGGATAATTGTCCTCACATAGGATTTTTTATTTTTTTTTTCTGCATCCAGATGGATTTTCCCTTAAGCACCTTGGGCCTGTTGTCTCTTGCCCTGTCACCATACACCCTTGTGAAGAGAATACCTCCATCTTCTCTACAATTACTTCTTCGATATTGGAATACTGTGATTAAACCCCTTAACTTTGCCTTCCTCAGGCTAAACAAACCCAATTTCTACAGCTTTTACTCATGTGTCAAGTTCTCCAACCCTCTAATCATTGTGGTCCGTCCTCTGCTAGAATCTCTCCTATCTTTCAATCTCTCTCCTCAGCTGGGGGGACCAAAACTGAACACAGTATTCCAGCTGTGGCCTTAGAATTGCTAGGTAGAGTGAAATACGTCTCTTGATCTGCTGGCTGTGCTCTTCTCCATACAGCCTAGCAAGCTGTTGGTCATCTTGGCTACCAGGGCACACTGCTGACTCGTGCTCAGCTTGTGGCTCAACGTTAATCTCAGCTCCTGTTGCCCTTCACAGAGCTGCTCCCCAGCCAATCATCCACAAGCCTGTGCTGCTGTTGGGAATTATCCCATCCCAGGTGCAGGGCTGCACACTGATCTTTGTTAAACATCACACAATTCTTCCTGGGCAAGTCTCCAAACCCAGCAAGGTCTCTGTGTATTGGCTCTTCATTCCAGTTTATCTACCTTTCCTCACAGTTTGGCATTATCTGCAAGTCTGGTGACTTTGCATTCAATCCTGTCATACATATCCCTTAGGAAGACAAGGAATAGTGTAAGACCCAGTATCAACCCCAGAGGAACTCCGCTCATGGTCAGCTACCAGTTAGACTTTGAGACGCTACCACCGTTTGGGCTCACGTCTTCAGCTAGCCTTCTCTCTTTCCACAGATGACAAGCATAGTTCTGAAATGATGCCAGGTAAGTATCTCTGTACCCTTGAATGCATTCCATCAGGTAGCAAAGGCTTGTGTACGACCCATTTGCACACACAAATGTCCGCTTTACCCTCTCCTACTCCCAGTGGTTAGTTGCTTCTTTCACCATTGCTTCTTGGCACAGAGACTGGGCTACTGACCTTAGCCACAAAGACTGAGGCAAAGAAGCCATTAGGTATTTCAGCCTGTGACACTTGTAACAACTTCCTGTTCATTCAGAAGCAGACCTAAAACCCTCCAAGTACTTCCAACTCCTAACAACATACCTATGGAAACCTTTTTTCAGGATCTTACCAGGCTCTTGGAGCTTTAGCTGAACTTTGGCCTTCATAACTACATCACTGCACACCTGATAAATATTTCTGTATTTATCTCTGGGAGTCAGTCCCCTTTTCCATCTTCCTTGTGCTGCTTCTTTGGTTTCTGAGCTCTATCACTAGCTCACTGTTTTAACCAGGTTGGTTTCTTGTTACACCCACTTCTTTTTCCACTTAAGGGACCACTCTTGAGCTTAAGCAAGGATCTCTGAAAATATCCTACCACTTCTGAGCCCTTCTGCTTTCCACAGGATACCTCCTAGCAGTTCCCAGGGCAAGCGGAAATCCGCTCTTTTAAGTCCAGTGTCATTATTCTTCCACTTGCCTTCCTCACATTCCTTGTGTCTCTTAAGTTCTGCAGTCTTGGCTGCAGTGACCATAAGGCTCCTGTTGGCAGTTACATCTCCAGAAAAGTTTCTCTCACTTGTAAGCAGCAAGTTCAAAAGAGCATCACTGCTACTCAGCACACCCACTGACTGCATTACAAAGTCATCCTCAATGCACTCCAGTTTCCCAGATTGCTAATACACCACTGTACTACTTTCCTAGCAAACACCAGGGTAAGCTGAAGTCCTCTATAAGAATCAAGGCCTGCAGGTCTGAGTTGTGTTTGATGCATCTGAAGAAGGCTCCACATGCCTTCCCTGGTATATAGGAAGAGGTGCATAGCAGACACCCACCATGAAGTCTCCCTTGATGCTAAACTCTCTGATCTTGATCCAAAGGTATGAAACAGGCTGGTACTCTTGTACAGGGCTATGCTACATGCACTGAAACTGCTCTTTTACCTACAATGCAACTCCTCCTCCTTTTCTGCCATTTACTGAACAGGTTGCAACTGTCCATGACAGTGTTCCAGTTATGTAAACTATCCCACCCAAATTCTGTAAATTCCAATGACATATGTAACTCTGGGCCTGCACAGAAAGTTCCAGTTATTCTCATTTCCCAAACTGGGAATGTTTTCCATACACAGGAATAAAGAATAGCATAACTTTGATGAAATAATTAAGGCTTAGGTAAATAAAATGTGTCCCACGCTGATTAAGCAAAGACCAAATGTTTCATCCTGGGACAGTTATAGTCTAAGATATGACCTGTCTAATGTTAAGAAATCATAGTACATGCAGAATTCCCTGATCATTTTTATTGCCCAAGTAACCATATCTTCCAACATACAGCATCTCCTAACCGAAGAACTAACTTCTTTATGACTACTATGCTTCACAAAAGACCCTACAAACAGAACTGTCAAATAAAGGAGGTAAAGGGGGGAGGGGGAAAAAAAAGAGAAGAAGCTCAACAGACCTCATGATGTAAAGCAGATGATGCACCCTCCTCAAATCCTTTTAAAAACCACACATACACACAAGTCAGCTTTTATGAAAAGAATCCATTTCCTTAAATGCATTACTTACTGTGCTTTTTTTTCATATTCTTGAATAACAAAATCTTCCTTTTGAAAAATTTGCAGAAGTTTATTGTATGCGACTCTACATCTTGCATCTGCCATATACATATCCTTAGGTCTCAACTTTACAGCTTCAGCAAAAGGTATACCAGTGCCTAAATGAAAGTTAATGTTTGGATTACATCATTCACTTTTAGCAAATAGACAATTTCCTAATCTACCTAGTTTGAATTGAAAGAATCACAAATCAAGATGACCATTGTACCTGGACCGAAATAGAGCATGCAGTGTACTGTCTTTTTTGCCAGTTCTTTCTGTTGTGCACATTTTCATTCCCTCACTCCTTCTCCCTTTCCTTATTCTTCAAGTCAGCAAAACAATACAAGATGCCTAGAACAGACAGTTCTGACCCTTCAGAATTCCTGAAGTTGTGAGAAAGAGTCTAGTATAGCGGTCCAGTACTTTGGAACCAAACCATTGCTTCTGCGGGTAATGGAGTATGGTATTACACAGATGAACCTTGGAGCAAGACCCATAAAGGAAGAGAAAGCAAAACGGTCTGCACCATTCTATCAGCAGTAGCGCTATGCAAGTGCGCAGAACCCTGTGAAAGATTTTGAACTGAGCAGCCAACTTAAAGCTCTTGGCATATATTAAAGACTTGACAGATTCACTGCCAAACATGACAAATGAAGCATTTGTACTGTTGCATTATAGCTTACCTATGAAGCTCCTTTTCATGTCCTCAACCACTACATGTTTTGCAAGCCGATACAATAGGTGAGTAAATTTAGGACCAGTAGGAGAAATAAATGCAGAAGGTGTAATTTGTGGAAGACAGCTTTGGTGTTGATTCTAGAAAAGTTAAATTGGTTTTAAACACAAAACTAATCTAAGGAATAAAGCCTTAACAACAGCCATCAAACATTTAGCTGAGTACCAAAACACTGCAGCCTGCTTGCTAGCAAGCCTGATGCAAAGCTAAACTACTTTGCTACCAGTTGACATCTACTCTAGTCAGCAGAAAAGACTAAAACTTTTTGAATGTTCCCCCCACCATCCCTAGTTCCATACGCAAATTCAGTTTCAACGCAAGAACTGAAGTTGGTGTTGAAGAAGCATTAAAATCTCTGCCCTCATCACTCCTAACTGGTAATCCCTACCTTTGAAAAACCATTCAAGTTTTCATTCATATTTTCTACTTAAGTTATTAATCAGTGTGTTTTGTTCTGCTTTTATTTTACTCAAAGATCTTGCATTGCTGGCTTTCACCTCTTCCATTACTACTAAAAAATAAAAGTTGCCCAAGACCTGATTTCTACAATTATCACTAAAGCAAAGGCAGCATGAGAACATAAAAACCAATGATACCTGAAGCACTCAATTTTCCTTTGTATCTCTTGCTTTAGAAAGCTCACCTTAAAGTCGCTTTACCCATATATAAGGAAAGACTAATGTTAAAAATAGGTTTTCATGCATCTGAAACCACTTGCACCATAATAAACACTTAACCAAACAACTCTCAAGTCGGAGAAAATTATTCTCACCCCGAGCTGAGGAACCTCTGCCATAGCAGTTTTGAGACCCAAGATTAATTATCACGTAAATTCCACCACACCCCAATTTTTTCCTCAAACAAGTTTACGATAAACTATGTGAAATAAGACACATGGTGAATTCTTTGGTACAACAACCTTATTTAAAACTCTTATTTAAAAGCACTACATAGTCTCTCAAAAGAAGAATGAGGTCACAGAAACCAGTAGAGCATCAGCTTCCACTGTTCTTTATACTCACTGCAATATCTTTTAGCCACAAACAGCACTGTTTCCTAAAGTCACGATCTGTGAAGCTTCCTCCCCAAAAGGCACAACCTCTTTCCATTTAAAAAGGACGGGGAAAAAGAAGCAAAAAAAAAAAAAAAAATGTTCAATTATTCAGTTACCCAATTAAGCATTCTAAGAACAAGACTATGACAAAGATTTCTTAGTGATGCCTCCTGGAGGAGCCAGAAAAATGAGGGTATATAGCCTAGACCAAGAACAGCTAAAAGTCTGTTAAATGACAAGGTTTTCTTGCCGTAATAAGTTAATTATGGACTATTTCAGAGACAGATTTGTCTGCAGCTTTTTTTAACTCAGATGGGAAGAATTAAAAAAAAAAGGGGGGGGGGGGTCAGAACACTGGCAATTTTTGTATCACTAGTCTTCCTCCAGCTGTTTCTTTAATGTGTAAGCTAAAATAGCTCAGCTACATGAGGAAAAACAAAAGGAAGATAGGATTCTTGCCATGTTGAAGATCCTAGCAGTAAGCCATAACTGCCTGATGTTACTCACCATTTGGTTAGGGAAACAAATGGGAAAGGTAGGTTACTTTGCAGCTGTGAGAGTTTTTACCAAACTCTCCAAGTTACTGATACTATCAGAAACAAATTTAATTAAGGCAAGTGTTCTGATACGCTAGAGTTGTGACCAAGAGGAAACGATTTCTCTAACTCTACATTCTTTTTCCAGAGCATTTCCCAAGAGCTCACACCCCCACCCCCCTCCGCAACTACACAAACCAAATTCTTGATTACGTGCACAAAGGTAACCTCACAACCCCAATACTTACCTGAAAGCTTTTGCTGCGCGGGCCCGATCCAGCTTAGTGAACAAGAAGAGAATAATGTCTCGAATCATACTGCTGTTTGAGTGATTATCAAACTTACTCCTAATAAACAAATAAAACACCTCCATGAGAAGCAGTCAGGATACCGAATTAACACAGCTTTTTTTACTGGCCGCTTAAGATTACAAAATACTACTTTCTATTAAAGTGTTACGAGGTTTACGTTGAATGCTTTATTTTCTGCACAGTTAAAAACATACATCCTCCAGCCCATTTAACGAAGCCGAAATGATTTCGGCGAGAGCACTTCCTCTCAAATTAGTTTTCGAAACACGCGGTAGCGGGGCCAGGCCGCTCCGCTTTCCCCGCATGACCGCGCGGGATGCATCCCTCGGAGAGCAAGAGCTATCGCTGTTTCTGGGTTTCGTTTCTCCAGCCACAACTAGCACAGACGGCTACAGCAACTCGGGCGTTTCCCCCGCGTTACCTGCGGCCCAGGGCACCAGGCCCCTCGGCGGCCACGGCGAGACACACACGCCCCCTCCACACACCCTCCCCGCCTTGAGGCGTGCGCCCCTGGGTGAGACCCAGCACCCCGCCGGGCGGCTGGCGGCCGAAAGGGGG